CTTGCCCCCTCTCTCTCTCTCTCTCTCTCTCAGGCCCTGTACAACTCTATTAAAAATGAAAAGCTGCAGTGGACAATGTAAGTGTTTTCTTCCTGCTTTCACCATTTAATGAATGTAAGGTTTTACAGTAGATGCAATGTGTTACTACCAAACTACCCACAGAGAAACACGAGTCAACTAATTTTATCATTCTGATCAACCTTAAAGACCACATTACCATGGTAACCATAGTTTCCTCAAAATTAGCAGAGTTAATACAGCTACTGTCATTATTGTAAAATCTATAACTATATTTGGAACGTATGAGTGATTGTTTGCTTAGGCAAAAACAAGGTATTGTTTTTCATGTGTTGTGTTGCGTTTGGATGGTTGCTACATTCAAAAAAATATTTAGGCCTAAATGTAAGATTTATGTGTTTGAATTGCATTTAAAATTTCCACAGTTTCAACATGAAAAGACTTAGTAAGTAAAGTAAGTAAAAAAAAAAAAGTATGAACATATGGCTAGCTATATGAAGTTAGTTAAAATGTATAAGATTAAAACTAATTGGATTTATTGATGCTAAATATATAAACCTGGATATTGTGTTTTTAAAACACAATCAGTTTGTATTACCGAAATCTGACCTGTTTGATATATGTATGATATGATAAACTTTCATGATAATTTATGAAAGTTTATTAATTTCTATTAAATCTGTGTAATCCAAATGGATGGAAATGTTTTATGCACAAATATATCAATATAAATATATATTATTTTAGTATAATTGAGATACTATTATAGTTTTAATGAATATTTAGAATTAGTTTCAATTTTAGTTAAAGTTTTAGGAATTTTGTTGTGTGTTTTTTTCTAACATATCCATCTTGTTTTTATTTATTTTTATTTCGGTGTTCTGTTTAGTTATTTTAAAACATTGTTAAACTAAATGAAAATGAGATGTTGCCTTGGAATGAAATGTGAAATAAAATAATATTAAGTTTTTATTTGATTTAATAAAGTATTTCAAGATTTTATTTTGTAACTATATTATATAAATATTACATTTATGCTTAATATTTTTCCAATTCAGGTCTCTATGCTTTTGTAGTATCTAGATATGCAGTGTATCTTATTTTTGCCCATTTTATCATCTAGCAGGATGAAATTGCATGTTCAGTCACTTGGAAAGTCATTTCTTTGTTTAATAGTGATGCTTTATAACCGTAATAAAAATAAAATGATTGCCATAGTAAATTTTCACAAAGATACAAGAGTGATGCCATAATAATAAATAGTGAAAGGAAAGCAGGTTTTAGTGTTTCAGGCATTGGAAACGTGTTTTATTTGCTAGAAACAATAGTGTGTGTGTGTGTTTCTCTCTCTGTATTCACACACACACACACACCAATTAAAGACTCTGGCTTTCCGAGCGCTGTTGCTATGGTTACGGCTCCATGGATACCGCTGCACAGTTACGGCTCGGCTGCATTCTGTCGATATGAATTCACCCCCCCCTCTCTCTCTCGCACGGAGCCCTAACCTCGTTCTCATGTTCAACAATCATCCGGGCGCCCACATATACGCCACAGCGCTCTTTAAAGGGCCCCGCTCACATCCTGAGCAAAGGTGAACCCACAGACTCCTACTGCAGCTCCCAAAATAGCCTCATCTGTCCCTCCTTGAGTTCATGAACAAGAGCACAGCCGAGAAACACCGGCCCATCCGTATCGAGCCGCTGAAACTCAGATTCTGCAGTCTCATGCATGTGCTTTCATGCTGTTATTTTAATATTAGCATGTGAATTCTGCTGATTTTAATGAGTCACCAAGGTAATGTTGTCTAGCTGGCTGATGTAGGTGAGGTTTTTGTCAAAATTGTGAGAATGACTTGCATGCATTGGTTAGAATGAGTTCAAAAAGATCTGAAAGTTTAAAAACAATCTGTATGTTTTGCATCGGATGTCTTCGTTGTCGAGCGAAAGTGTGTCTGATTGTATAGCTGTCACTAAAGCTGGAATACTTGATTCTCAGTTGATCAGTGATCAAGTTGATATGTGCTTTTCATAGTCTTTTCACAATGCAATTTAATTTGACTTACTGCATTTTGATCACATATGCACTACAATTCGAAAGTTTGGGGTCGGTAAGATTTTTTTCATGTTTTTGAACAAAGTCTCTTCTGCTCTCCAAGGCTGCATTTATTTGATTAAAAATACAGTAAAAATAATTTAAAAAAAAGAAATATTATTACAATTTAAAATAGCTGTTTTCTGTTTGAATATATTATAAAATTTAATTTATTCCTGTAATATAAAGCTGAATTTTCAGCATCATTACTCCAGTCTTCAGTGTCACATGATCTTCAGAAATCATTCTAATATGCTGCTTTGCTGCTCAAGAAACATTTCTGATGATTATCAGTGTTGAAAATAGTTGTGCTGATTCATGTTTTTGTGGATACATTTTATTTTTCAGGATTCTTTGATGAATAGAAAGTACAGATAGAGTCAGATTGTAGAGGAAATGAATGGAAAGTTAAAAAGAACAGCATTGATTTGAAATAAAAATCTTTTGTAACATTATAAATGTCACTTTTGATCCATTTAACGTGATCAATTTAAAGTAATACTTTCTTTAAAAAAATATTTTGAACAGTAGTGTACATTTACTGTAAACTAAATTAAATTAAAGTACTATAAATAAAATTAACTTAATTAAAATGTAGCATTGTTTGTACTGTATTTTATTTTTGAATTGAACATTTTGAATATAATTACCTGCAAATAGGTGTTTGGTTGAAATAATGGAAACAATAAATAATTAAAAGCATAAATACCCAGATTTGCGATATATATTGAATATCACCAAAGGGGTTAAAAATGCCACCCCTGCCATCTAACACTTTCTTTCAGTCATGCGTTGTGCTGATCTGATCTGGAGTCGGCTGTGTGATTACTGTCATTAGTCTCTGCAGTTGGGCCTGCTGTAATGGCTCTGGCTAAATTTATTCTTAAGGTTGCGTTTTTTTTCTCCATCAGTCCTCCGACCATCTCTCTCTCTCGCTCTCTCTCTCTCTCTCTCGCTCTCTCTCTCTCTC